AAAAAAAACGAGTCAAACGATTTCTACTCATCTCGACTGCATCTCGTTGATATTCAAAAAAGTCATATGCGTGGAAGAAGAAAGAGGAGATGGAGAAAAACTTCTTTCAATAAGTTCGGCACATCAATTTGCTATCTGATATCAAACATCATGGCATTCTCAAACTCCCACTACATTTCCTCGAAAGATAGTAAGTCTTTCATGCGTGTAATTTTAGAGAATATGAACATCAGGAGGTATGAAAAAACCAAAAAAGTACTTACAAATCAAAAGGGCGACTCCTCATATGGATTAGACATTCATAGAATCAACTTTCAATTAAACGAGTCTCAGACGAGAATAGAATTTCTAGTACAGCTTAAGAAAACCGAATACTTACAAGACTGTTCAGTTTGGCCATTTCCAGTCCAAACGTTTCATTGGGTCGAGCCATCTTGTCCATAATGTTGAGCTGCGTCTCGCTTCAGAAAGAAAACATGGATTTCTACCGCGAATACTTTCGATGATACTTACTGAATTTCCTCGAGTAGCGTGAGAACTCGTTTCGACTCTTCGTCCATGGAAGTTGTCAAGCTCATTTTGAAACAAATGAAATTGTCCAAAGCAAGAGGTTAGAGCAGGAAAACAAGCTTAATTTGAAAACTATAGTGAAGCGATTACTGATCCAGAGATGTACGGTTATAAGACTTCCAAATTAACTAAGCACACAGATTAAGAAAGACGATTAAAGGAAACATTCATTTTGTTGACTATGGAACGTGCAGAGCAATGATTACTGATACAATGAGCATATGCGACTCCTAAGAAGGGGAATGAAGAGTAGCAAATGTAATATATTTATTGAACAGCGTTAAGATATACAACTTTAAAAAAACGACTAGACAAAGTTATTTTAAAGAGAAATAATGCTACGGAAGAAGATAGTCGTCGATACTTAGTCTGACAAATTACAAAATGAATTTCATCCGCATACATTCCCTATCAATACTGACATTCCTAATGTATCTGTATATCTGCATGATATAAACAACTAAGAAATGAATATATCGCAGATATTTACAATGTATGCCAACCTGAAATTATGAGGTATCATTCAAAGCAACACCTGTAGAAACCCACATTTCAATGCCTAACGTGCCTGATGAATCTCTCACATAATGTCACAGTTTAAAATGGTAGCAAAAACTGAGCAGACTTGAATACAACAAAAAGAATGATCTGTTACTACCCAGGGGAAATTGGCAACGCAAAAGTTTGTTCTAATCTATGCTCTATGGAACACTAAAAAAATTACAAGAGAATTCAAATATTTCTAACAATGAACACCGTGGCTGCGAATATGAGTTTTAACGTTATCCTTTCGCGCGATTCCTCTGCCACAGATTGGACAATTATGCTTCTTCTCTCCAGAGTGCACTAAGCGATGACGACGCAGCGTACTTCCGTCGGCAAAACTACGTCCACATGTTTCGCACTGAAATGCCTTTGTTGAGTTCTCACTATGATTTTCTGATTGAAAAAACTTACGCTGAAGGGCTTTTCGCCAGTATGGGTCCTAATATGAGCCTTGAGATAGTTTCGTCGCCCACGTTTACCACAATACTCGCAGGCGTAAATTCTTAAAGCAAAAGTTAACAATTTTGCTTTTTTCAATGCCGCAGCAGAGGATGCATCCGTACTCCACAAAAATCAGTCGATTAAAATAGGCTAATTTTAAAAAGCCTAGAAGGACAAATAAGATCCAGGCAATTACGGGTGCCGCGCAATTTCGTTGCGCCGGAAACCGATGTCACTGGGAAATGAGCACAACTATTAACTAT